GAGAGACTTCTTTTAAATCGTTTCGAGAGCTTTCTGGCGTCCAGATGTTCGCCACGGAGAGCGTCCAGTAACACCTCCGGTGAAAGTTTTCCGGAAACCCTTTGCCTGGACCAAAAGGGTGCCCTGTCCAGATGACCGGAGAGAGATTTTTTTGAACGGTTTAGAAAGTTCTATGGCGTCCACATGTTTGCCACAACGCTTCTTCTTCAAACATCTCCATGTAGAAATTGGCGATTACCGGTGACAAAGGTGATCCTATGAATTCACTCCAGCTAAAGTATATCGATGATAAATTAGCCCTGGAATATATTTCGAAATAACTTTCTGGCAAAGACCATTCACGAATTTTTGACTGGTACACTAGTAAATAGAGATCGAAATTTACCAGGATATCTAACTAAATACTTTTGATTGACTCCACAAATGCGTAAAATCTCTGACATATGATTCTGTTCTACCTGTAAAAGGAGACAGGATTTTGGAAAGGTGCTTCGTCAGCTGGTACGTTGGAGAATTTATGGCACTCACAATAGGGCAAGGTCGTCGCCAGAGAGGGGCAGAGGGGGGCTGCTGCCCTCCCCTAGAGACAAATTCGAAAAAAAAATTGAAACAATAAATATACATCTCGAGTACTGAACAACTATCGATTGGGATGCGATATTTTGATCAGAAAACCAAGGAAGTTCAAGAAGTATTCCTCGGGTTCGTCAAGCTTGATGCTTTGGATGCGAAATGTATTGCAAAGGCAGTAGATGAGTTTTTGGCAGAAGAAGATCTTGATCCGGACAAATGTGTTGGTTTAGGATTTGACGGTTGTTCGACGATGTCCGGGAAAGAAGGTGGTGTGCAAGCAATCCTACGCAGAAAATATAATAAAGCTTTGTACCTTTGTACAAATTAAATCTAGTCATTAATGATCTAAATAGTCTACCTGAAATCCGGAACACCGAAGGTACCATCAAAGATATTATTACATTTTTTCAAGAATCAGTTTTGAGACGCAAATTGATACCAAATATTTCCAGGTTTTGCGAAACAAGGTGGAGCGAGAAACACAAAAATATTAGACTTTTTAAAAAGAATTATCCTATTATAATGAAGGTCTTAGAAACCTTGTCACGGGAAGAAAATAAGAATAAATAATGCGACTAGAAAAAATGCTTATCAGCTCCATGCAGCAGCTTCTAGAGTTTCGTTTATTCTCAGCTTTATTTTGATAGCCAAATACTCGGCTATGATGGAACCTGTGATAAACGTGCTGCAATCCGTAGCTTTGGATGCAGTTAAGGCATCCCAGCACATTAGCCGCATTTTGCAATTAATAGAAAACCACCGTAACGGTCCAGAAAACGTCACAGATGAAATTATTAGGGACGCTACTATCGTTGCAGAAAAGCTTGCACTGGGAGAAGACATGAAGTCAGTGCCCCGTATTGTTGGGAGACAACAACATCGGAACAACCACACAGCAGCAAACCCCTCAGAATTCTCAGCCTCTCTAATCGAGTCTCAGAAGACTCGATTATTAATTCTCCTGAAGTTCGCGTTTCTGAAGAAAACACCCCGTCATTTTCTTTATCAAAATTACACCTGGTTCAAATGTTAGAATGTCCCTTGAAGACCTCGTAGAAGCTTGTGAAGTCTTTTCCCAATTTTATAATTTATCAAATATCAACAACGAAATCGAACTATGGCAAAAACTATGGCAAGATAAACCTGACTCAAAAGAACTAAGGTGTTTCAGAGAAAAATATAACGTTATGTGAAGAATATTTATTGGCACATACAGTGTGTTAATTAATTATCGTACCTGACGTCATCATTGAAAGTATACAACCAATATCATAGTATACAGTGTATATTGATTAATTTATAATTTATTAATTAACACACTGTACATCTTTACCGCCTTCAACTGAATCGATATTCAGTTCGCATTGCTTTTTTAGTTCTAGTAACAGTGCTAGTGTAAAACTAGAACTAACACTAGACATAGAACTAGAAACATTCGGACCCGAAACTTTCTAGTTCTAGGTCTAGTGTTAATTCTAGTTTTAATTATTGTGCAGCGCTAGACCAAGAACTAGAAACATTCGGGTTTAGCCGTCTTTAAAGACGTGCGGCTACACCCAAATGATTCTAGTTCTAGTAACAGTGCTAGTGTAAAACTAGAACTAAGACTATACCTAGAACTAGAGACATTCGGGTTTAGCCGTCTTTAGAGACGTGCGGCTAAACCCAAATGATTCTAGTTCTAGGTATAGTGTTAGTTGTACATAGTAACAGTGCTAGTGTAAAACTAGAACTAACACTAGGCCTAGAACTAGAACATTCGGGTTTAGCCGTGCGTCTTCGGACGCACGGCTAAACCCAAAACTTTCTAGTTCTAGGCCTAGTGTTAGTTCTAGTTTTAATTGTTGTGCAGCGATAGACCAAGAACTAGAATCATTCGGGTTTAGCCGTCTTTAGAGACGTGCGACTAAACCCAAATGATTCTAGTTCTAGGTCTAATGTTAGTTCTAGTAACAGTACTAGTGTAAAATTAGAACTAACACTATACCTAGAACTAGAACATTCAGGTTTAGCCGTCTTTAAAGACGTGCGGCTAAACGCAAAAAAAAACCTGAAACGAGAAAAGCCTTTATAATTTTGGTCACTTTACCCTGCACGAGATATACTGTTGAACGATCTTTTAGCAGCTTGAGGAGAATAAAAAGCTGGCTTAAAAGCACTATGGCAGAATGTCGTCTCAATGGTCTTCTCATGATGAATGTGTCTAGGAAGCATATTGTTGAGAACTTTGAGAGTTTTATTAATAATCTGGTTGACCAATTCGCTAAGAGCCACGAAAATTATGTTTTAAATAATTTGGTCTGTTTTTGTTTTTTCATTTTTTTTCCTGCCCCCTCCTGGCCTACTGGCTGACGACGACCTTGCAATAGGGCATCGCGAGGCGTCCGGTTTATGGATTTTAGGTAATGGGGCCTGTATAAACAAACGTCGCTGTTGTTCTGCTCTAATCTTATTAATCTGTAGATTTTATCTTTTAGATTTTCTTGTAGGTGGATCGATCCAAAAGGTTCGTCATCTTGTCGTCGTATTCTTGTCTGTCCATGACCACAGTGGCATTTCTTTTGTCTGCTGGTAGAATAATGATGTCTGTTTTTTCTTTGATCGCCCGCAGTCCCCTCCTTTCGTTAATTGTTAGATTTTATTTTGATGGCTTTGGTAATTTAAGTACTCTCGCTATATCTGGTCGGATTTCCTGCGCAGGTATTCTGCCGATAGCCGTTTCTACTTCGCAGATGATTTCTTTCTTTGGGGCGACTACGCGTAATTCAATCCTTTGGCGAGTCCTGTAGTTAATCGGGCGCTTGATCGATTAATGACGATCGTTTCGATTGGTAAATCGTTGTTCTTGATTTGTTCGGCACGACTTCTTTGAAATTCGGCCATCTCCATGGTTATTCTGTCTATTTTATCCCAGTCTTTTTTAGCCATAGAATCGAAAAGTGAAGTCGTAGTAACCTCTCCCTTATTTGATGCAGATCTTTGAAGGTCTTATGAATTCTTTCTCGTATTGGTGCTTGTTCTGTCCTAATCAAGATCTTACAGGTCCTAGCAGAACCAATAAGGTGCTTCAGCTTGAGGAAGGTTGACGTTATTTTCATCTTTCTCTATCTTCGTAAAAAGTCCAAGCTACTTAATAGCTTACGTTGTTTAATCCGTAAATTGTCAAAATTTTTAGCTTGTTTGTTTATATCTTCCCCATAAAGGTTGATAACATTTATATTAACACAAAAGAATTAGTAATAAACGGTCCAATAATATCTTCCAATATTTAGGGAACCAAATCGTTTCTTCTATGTGAAATAATAACCTATCTAAAATAAATATGTTTTAAGGTCAAGGCAAATTATTAAACATAAATTATTTCGTGTTGTTTTCATAAACAACAATTTGTACAATCTCCATATAAGAGATAATATTTTTTATATTAACTGAACTTATCAATAATTTAATTTTTTTGTTTTTATATTAGCAATGAACTAATATTTGAAAGAAAACCATCAAAGAAGATATATTCTTGTGCCTTACCATTGCATATTGCGTGGTTTAATTTTCTTACATCAAACCCAGAAATAAAGGAAAATGTACTTTTATATGTCCCCCTCCAGTTGGAAGTTTTATATGAAATGATGAAATGGGAAGGGTTTAAATATCACATTCAGGTAATGGTTGAGATAACATTTCAAGATGAATAAACAAACTGATATTGATGTATTTGCAGGATCTCCTCACGTTTTTAGATAAGAAATGTATCACGATAAGAATAAATCAACAAGGTGGACAAAAACAGCATAGAAGGAAAAACAAGGATTAAATAGTAAGTGATGATTCTCAATAATTTATTTATTTACTTTAGTTGTATTCTAACATTTCTAAATTTTATACTAAACTATTACAAATCACCCATATCCTAAACATTTCAGTATCACACCTTCATTTTTCTTTTTTTAATATTTATCATATTACTCAGATTTTTTTTGTTGCTTAATTTTATAATCAGACAACGCCGCTTTAATAGCATCCTCAGCCAACATAGAACAATGCAATTTCACCGGGGGTAAACACAACTCTTTAGCAATATCAGTATTTCTCAATTTCAAAGCTTGATCGACGGTTTTTCCTTTAACCCATTCTGTTGCTAATGAGCTACTTGCTATAGCTGATCCACAACCGAAAGTTTTGAATTTCGCGTCAATAATCTTCCCATCGGCATCAACTTTAATTTGTAACTTCATTACATCTCCGCATGCAGGTGCCCCAACCAATCCTGTACCTACGTTAGTATCGGCTTTATCCATTGAACCAACATTTCGTGGGTTTTCATAGTGATCAATCACTTTTGGGTGATATGAAGCGGTCGCTATTTTTATGGGGCTCTGTGCTACCTTTAAGAGCTTGCCCGTAACGGCGTTTAACGCCATTTTAATTTTTTAAGGTTTTTCGCAAGGTTTCTATGAAGAATTAGAAATAATTGATATAAAATGAGTTCGTTGCACAATATTTTGTAAAATACTTACAATTTGATGCGCAATTTACCACTAAAAAGAAACGACTGGATACAAACGTCAATGATTGACGTTTAAGATCACATTTTTATTGAGTGGTGTGAGTTTGGTTTTATCGCGGATAGATGGCGTTAATGTTGCGACATTGAGTGCATTTTAAAGTTGTTACATTAACATTTAAAGGGATTTTATTCCAAAATATATATATTTTTGGTAATATTAATAAATGATTATATTATTTATAAATATTGATGCAATTTGCAACTAAAAAGAAACAACTGGATACAAACGTGAATGATTGACGTTTAAGGTCACACTTTTATTGAGTGATGTGTGTTTGTTTTTATCGCAGATAGATGGCGTTAATGTTGTAACATATGTATAGAAGGTTATTTATATTTTTTATAGTAAAACACTTTTTATATTATTGTAATAGGATATATCCATTTTCACCATGTGTTAATATTTTTTAAAAAAATTTTATGTAATGATACTTTTGGTGATAATTTATTAATTTATCGTCTAGACCTGGTTTCGGGCCTTGCCCTTCATCAGTAGATTAGACCCTACAATGTACAAAAATATAAGATAGTAACATTAGAAAAAATTAAGGTTAAAGTAGCATCGAAATCAATGTATATAAAAAACTTAAAAACTAAACTCACGTCAACATTAAAACTTTACAAAGATACATAACATTTACATTAAGATATCAGCAAATGAAAGTTCTTAACTAGTTAGTTGGAATGAACTTGATATTATTAAAAGAAAACTTGTGAAACATTGAATTTATAAATCACGACTCGATATTAGAGGTTAAATTCAAGATTACGGTGACCTGATGAATTGTGGGTAAAGTAGATAACTATTGTTACAGTTAGAAACAGTATAAACTGAATTTCAATGAACAAAACAAAACAAGACACGACGTAATTAGTAATAAAATCCAAAATTTAAAAATCTTCGAAATTAAAAATTAGTTTAGTTTAAGTTAGTTAATTAGTTAGTTATTTTTTAACAACTTTGAATGGTCCTTCAAATCTAGGGGACAATGCACCTCTCATACCTTCCAATTTAAGGAATACCTAGTCGGATTTGAACAAATCTCTGCAAGGGCGTCGCCAGCTTATGACAATGGGGAAATAGGAGGATAAAATATGAACACCTGGTACAGTCGAAAGCATGAAGCGTTACACTTTGGAAGTCTTTGCATCGATGACGATTGTAATAAGAACGATTCTGATATCAATGTATAAAACTTCACAAGCCCTCGACAGCACAATAACACAGTAATAATTATTTATTTTAACAAAAATAATATTTAATTAAAACATAACCTGCGGGGATTAAATAATTATTCAGGTTTTTATTTATTATAGCTCTGTGTACACTCATCATGGCCAGACCATTAAGGCGATCTTCTGCCATGGTGCTTCTTAGCCATGTTTTTAGTTTTGTGAGGCTGCTAAAGGATCGCTCTACTGTACAGGGTGTCCAAATTTCGATGGGTTTGCAGGGTATCTCAGTTATTATGAAAGATAGAAAGTTGCGGTTTTCGCGAACCTGAGCTACTTTTTTGTGAAATTTACAATGACGCAAACCAAATTTTCATAGCCCTCTTCGTTTTTGATATACAGGGAGTTTTTCAAAATTTACGATTTTCAGACACCCCCTGTATCTCGGCTATCCGGAAACTTAGTAAAAAAGTAAAAACGGGTTCTAATAGATTTTTTCACGTAGAATCCAATGGTGCACGTAGAATTTTTCTAGTCATCACAGTTTTTGAGTTATAAACACAACTTAGGTTTTTTTAAATGGAACCACCTATATTTTATTTTTTTATTAAATTTTTTCAAGCTTTTCAATGATATATAATACTCTATACTTACTTTTATAGTTAACCTCGAAATTTAAAAAAACACATTATTTTATAAGTAGGCTATGATAAATTAAGTGATCGCGTTGCTATGATACCGGAATAAACAGAAAATTTTGAAAATACTATAATATTTTTACTGCTATATTACTTTTATTTAGTTATTGACTTATTAAAAAAATGTATCTGTAAATTTTTGTTTGCAAAAAACGAAAAATAATTAAAAACTAAAAATGATGCAAATATGGCTTCAAGTTGCAAGTATTGTTCAAAGTTGCTACCATTTTGATGCACACATTGTTCACAAAGTTCAGTGATGCGTTTAATTGCATTTAGAATAGTTATGGAATGTTGCTGTAAATGTGAAAAAGCATCATTTACAGCAATTTTCCATTTCAATTTCGTTCAATTCTGGGTACTATATACGCGATTCTTGATATATCCCCATAAAAAGAAGTTCAAAATAGATAAATTGGGTGATCTTGCTGGCCATCGCGTTGGACCATGCGTGGATAGGCCACCTACCAGGAAATTCGGTTCACTAACCGCGCATAGTGAGCGGGAGCTCTATCTTGTTGAAAATAAATATTATTTAACCGAATAACAGACACATTCCAAAATATCTGACAAAGCTTCTTGCAAGATGGCCAAATAGCAATTGGCGGAAAGGTTTCCTTCATATATTTTATAAACAATTAGTGGCCCAATAATAAAACATGCCACGCTAAAACAAAATTTTCCTTGACGCTCCCGCTCAATAGACTGCCTAAGTCTGACGTCACAGAGATGGGCGGAGCTTATACCGACTCCAAACAATTTCGTTGCTAATCACAGTTGCTAACGATAAATTGCCAAAAAATGTCATTTAAAATGTCACTTAGTTTATTTTAACACTAATTGAAAAATTGTATGTGACAATTTACCGTTAACAACAAAGTTAGCAACCAAAATGTTTGGAGTCGCTATAAGCTCCGCCCATCACTATGACGTCAAGGCTTAGGTTGTCTATTACAATATGTTGGTTTTCTTGACGCCAATGCCCGGTATCCTATTATTGTGGCGATTATAGATTCCTGTGCTGGTAAAATATTCAAAATATTTCAAAATTCAGTTTGATAATAATTAATAAAATTTACTTTGTTTATTCCGGTATCCTAGCAACGCATCACTTAATTTATCATAGCCTACTTATAAAATAATGTGTTTTTTTAAATTTCGAGGTTAACTATAAAAGTAAGTATAGAGTATTATATATCATTGAAAAGCTTGAAAAAATTCTAGTTTAATAAAAAATAAAATATAGGTAGTTCCATTTAAAAAAACCTAAGTTGTGTTTATAACTCAAAAACCGTGGTAACTAGAAAAATTCTACGTGCACCATTAGATTCTACGTGAAAAAATCTATTAGAACCCGTTTTTATTTTTTTACTAAGTTTCCGGATAGCCGAGATACAGGGGGTGTCTGAAAATCGTAAATTTTGAAAAACTCCCTGTATATCAAAAACGAAGAGGGCTATGAAAATTTGGTTTGCGCCATTGTAAGTTTCACAAAAAAGTAGCTCAGGTTCGCGAAAACCGCAACTTTCTATCTTTCATAATAACTGAGATACCCTGCAAACCCATCGAAATTTGGACACCCTGTACAGGTTGGTTCAAATTCGATGCCCCAAGGTTCAACC